AGATCATGCCAGTAAGAGGACAGAGAACAGAGTGGAGGCCTGTGGGTTGGAGACAAGAAAATAGTTGGAGGGCTGCTTTAAGAATCCAGGTAAGAAATAATGAAGAGCTCAGTCAGTGGGATATAGAGCAAGAATGAATTTAAGGGATTTTTAAGTAGAATTGACCAAATATAGTATCTGATAGGACGGGGAGGTGGGGAGAAGGAGGAGGAGGAGAAAGGTGAGCAAGAAGGAAGAATATGGAACTGTACTGTCTAAATAGAACTTTCTGTGATGATGAATATGTTCTATAGCTGTGCTGTCCAATAGGTTAGCTACTAGCCACATACAGTTTGTGAGTACTTGAAATACAGCCAAATGTGATGGGAGAACTAAAAATTTTAATACTTTTAATAGCCATATATGACATGTGACATACGACTGTGTCTATGACTACCACGGACAGTGCAGATCCAGAATGTCTCTGGGTTTAACCTTTGGAAAGATCACTTGGAGATGACAAGGAAAGACTTGATTCCTTCAATCAAACATTATATAAATAGATAAAGAAAAAGTTAAGTCTATGTACAATTTCATCCCACCTTCCTGAGCTAGTAACTAGCACTGACAGCTTGGGCTGAGATTTTTCATCTCTCTTGTTGCTCATACAGATTATACATACACAACATGTGTTAGTTTTGTTTAATGGAAAATAAGATCATCCCTAAAATTTACTTTCAGACATCACTCTGAAATGCCTTTTCTTCAATTATGAACATAAAGAAGAGGTGTGAGATGAGCAGTGTGATAAGGACAGATATGCAGGGGCGGACTTACACCTGAAGAGTCAGAGTGTTTGGGGAGTCAGCGGGAGGGGGAGGGAAGGAAAGCCTGCAGCAGGTGGGGGTACATCAGTCCACTGGGGCTAAGGTAGGTTTCATGATCAGTGTTAGAAAAAGAGCGGAAAGGGCAACTCTACCCTCCTCCTGAGTACCTGCAGTCCAGGGTACAGCAGACCACTCAGCAACGGGTGGTCCACCTGCTTTACGACCTCAGCTCCAGCTTTCTTGGCATCGTGCTGTGTGACCATGGAGGACAGTCTGTACGCGTCTAGTGTGTACTCTCTGAAGAGGAAAGGAATTGGGGACAGCTGTAAGACCGGGCCTGGGCCTCAGCTTAATCCTAAAGAACATTAATTAGCTCTCCCAATCTTAAAATATTCCAAGACAGTACTGCAGTACTGCCTGGTAGCTTCTAAAATGTGAGTGGCCCATCTTCTCATTCAAAATACTACTTTATGTTTATGTGTTTCCTTTGTTAAGATGGCTTTAACTAATCTTTTTCTTTACTTATCTCTTGAAGTACTGTTAGCTTGCCATTCCCCTAAATTCTTTTTCTGAAATGCCTATTAAATATTCACCAGAATTTCTCTATCTTTCATGTCTTTTAAACTTAAATACATAGAAGGAATAATGAACATGTAGAATAGTGTACTCATCAGTCAGTTTAAGAAAAAGGACCTAATTACTTCTGGAGCTCCTGTGCTCCCCTTCACAGTCCTATTTCACTTTCTTTCTCTCCAGGATACCTGCTTTCCTGAAGTTATGTATTTCTTTCTGGTTTTACACTGTTTTTATCTCTAAGCAATGTGCTGTAAGCATTCTTAAATGTGTATCCTGGTTTATATGTGCAAGTTCCTTTGTGTATGCCTAGGAGAATTTCTGGACCACAGAGGACACGAATCTTTAAGAAAAATTTTTCATTTATGTATAGTCGATATACAATATTACATTGGTTTGAAGTATACAACATAGTGATTCAACAGTTATCTACATTATTAAATGCTCACCCTAACTAGTGTAGTTACTGCCAACATAGAATATTACAAAATTACTGACAATATTCTCTATGCTGTACTTCTATCCCTGTGACTAAATTACATTATGATTGAGATTTTGTGCCTTTTTACCCCTTTTCCCTACTCCCAGGAGATTTGAATCTTGAACTCTAGTTGGATAGTGGCAAACTATTTTCCAAAGTGTCTTTTATCAATTTTACTTAAAATATTTAATATTGCCATTATTTAAAATTTTGTCAATTTGGAAAACATGGTTTCTCACTGCAGTTTTAATCTACATTTCTTTGAATAATAAAAGGAGGTAAAGCATCTTTCTATATACATATCAGTCATTTGGTATCTTCTGCAAAATGCCTATTTATGTCTTTTTTACTGGACTGATTCACTTTTTTGAGAACTGATTTTATAGTTTTTGACATGATACTAGATATTAATCCTTTGCCATTATATGTGTTATATTTTCTCCCATTTGGTGGCTTGTCTTTTTACTTCACTTTTGATGTACTGTAGGTCTTAATTTTCATGAAGTTGAATTCACCAACCTTTTCCAGTGATTTGTGATTTTTGTGTGTCTTTATCTGCCATATAAGATAGTCTTATATACTGTCTTTTAAATATTTTATAGTTTGGCCTTTAATTAAATCTTTAATGCATTTGGAATAGAAAGATCATTTTTCTCCCATATAGATAACCAATTATCTCTGCACTGGTTTTTCTTAAAAAGCTTATTCTTTCTCTGCCGACCTGTAAATTACAGCTCTGTCATATGTCAAGTTTCTGTATTTGTGAAGGTCTATTTCTGAACTCTCTATTCTGTTCCAGTGGGTAATTCTCTATCCCCATGCTTTATAAATGACAAAGGATTTGGTATCCAGAATACATAAGAAACCCCTTAAGAAAAAAATAGAAAAATGGACCAAAATTTGCATAGACACTTTACAGAAGAGGAAACACAAATGGCCAATAAAACCATGAAAATAATTTTTTTCAGATATTGTACCCCTGCACTTGAATGGTAGCTTGGATGGGTATAGATTGTTAGGTTGGAAATTCTTTTCCTTTGGAATTTTAAAGGCTTTGCTTCATTGCTCTTTGGTTTTCAGTGTTCCTTTTGAGAAATGCAAAGCCATTCTGATTCCTGACATTTTGTATATGATTTCTTTTGTCCCTTTGGAAGTTTGTAGAATACTTTTTTTTCTGTCCCCAGTGTTCTGAAATTTCAAGATAATGTACTTTAGTGTGGGTTTATATCATCCATGTGTTAGGCACTTGATGGGCCTTTTCAATCTAGAAACCCATGTCCTTTAATTGTCTTGAAATTATTTCATTGATGACTTCTTTCCCTCTGATCCTTTATTTTCTTTTATGGAACACTTACTATTCAAATATGGGATCTCCTGGCCTACAACTCTGATTTTCTTACCTTTTTCTCTTTTCCCCCATTGTGCACCATGAGGCCACAAAAACCAAAGGTCAAACATTTACAATTCAAGGAGCTACCTCAAAGTGCAAGTAGTTTTCCAGTGTTCTACTTACTATATTTGTAGATTCTAAGATGCATTTTTTGAACATTAACATCTCTGAAATCTAGATGTATCTTTCAAACAACAGCATGCTATAGCAGTATTTTTAAAGACATCTTAAATTACTGAAATACAATATCCCTTTGTATTCCCATTTTCATTTGGTTTCTGGGCACTGAGTATTCTTGACTAATTTGTCAATATCTACATTTCTTTGAATAATAAAAGGAGGTAAAGCATCTTTCTATATACATATCAGTCATTTGGTATCTTCTGCAAAATGCCTATTTATGTCTTTTTTACTGGACTGATTCACTTTTTTGAGAACTGATTTTATAGTTTTTGACATGATACTAGATATTAATCCTTTGCCATTATATGTGTTATATTTTCTCCCATTTGGTGGCTTGTCTTTTTACTTCACTTTTGATGTACTGTAGGTCTTAATTTTCATGAAGTTGAATTCACCAACCTTTTCCAGTGATTTGTGATTTTTGTGTGTCTTTATCTGCCATATAAGATAGTCTTATATACTGTCTTTTAAATATTTTATAGTTTGGCCTTTAATTAAATCTTTAATGCATTTGGAATAGAAAGATCATTTTTCTCCCATATAGATAACCAATTATCTCTGCACTGGTTTTTCTTAAAAAGCTTATTCTTTCTCTGCCGACCTGTAAATTACAGCTCTGTCATATGTCAAGTTTCTGTATTTGTGAAGGTCTATTTCTGAACTCTCTATTCTGTTCCAGTGGGTAATTCTCTATCCCCATGCTTTATAAATGACAAAGGATTTGGTATCCAGAATACATAAGAAACCCCTTAAGAAAAAAATAGAAAAATGGACCAAAATTTGCATAGACACTTTACAGAAGAGGAAACACAAATGGCCAATAAAACCATGAAAATAATTTTTTTCAGATATTGTACCCCTGCACTTGAATGGTAGCTTGGATGGGTATAGATTGTTAGGTTGGAAATTCTTTTCCTTTGGAATTTTAAAGGCTTTGCTTCATTGCTCTTTGGTTTTCAGTGTTCCTTTTGAGAAATGCAAAGCCATTCTGATTCCTGACATTTTGTATATGATTTCTTTTGTCCCTTTGGAAGTTTGTAGAATACTTTTTTTTCTGTCCCCAGTGTTCTGAAATTTCAAGATAATGTACTTTAGTGTGGGTTTATATCATCCATGTGTTAGGCACTTGATGGGCCTTTTCAATCTAGAAACCCATGTCCTTTAATTGTCTTGAAATTATTTCATTGATGACTTCTTTCCCTCTGATCCTTTATTTTCTTTTATGGAACACTTACTATTCAAATATGGGATCTCCTGGCCTACAACTCTGATTTTCTTACCTTTTTCTCTTTTCCCCCATTGTGCACCATGAGGCCACAAAAACCAAAGGTCAAACATTTACAATTCAAGGAGCTACCTCAAAGTGCAAGTAGTTTTCCAGTGTTCTACTTACTATATTTGTAGATTCTAAGATGCATTTTTTGAACATTAACATCTCTGAAATCTAGATGTATCTTTCAAACAACAGCATGCTATAGCAGTATTTTTAAAGACATCTTAAATTACTGAAATACAATATCCCTTTGTATTCCCATTTTCATTTGGTTTCTGGGCACTGAGTATTCTTGACTAATTTGTCAATGGACTAATATGAAACAGTGAGGAAGTTTAAAAAATATTTTATCTAGCAGTTTTAGTTGTTTTCAGCAGGAAGGCTGGTCAGAGTACCTAGTCTGCTAGACTACTGGAAACAAAGTCCTTATCCACATCTAAAACACACTTACAGTTTTTTTGGTCCATCTGTCTGGACTGCACTCTGGGTGAATTTCTTAGTAATACCTTTCAAATCTCTAATTTTCTTTAACTATGTTCAGTTTAGAGTTGCTCTCCTCTATTGATAGTTGGCTTGTGGGATTTCTTGTTTTGTTTTACTTTAATGACTGACTTTTTCATTTCTACCTTATTCTGTTTTATAATTTCCTTTTTTAAAAAATGGATGTTATTCCTTGGCATTTTAGACCTTTTTGTCTTTTTGGTAATATCAGGGACAGAGCACTCTTACATGGCGGACAGCCTGATTCTACGATGGTTCCTCTGGCTTTCAGCAGGAAGCCTGCTTTGTCCCCACTGCCTGCTTCCAGACTGGAATCTGCAGACCTGTAACTTCAGTCCAACTCACGAATTTGCTTTTCAGTTCTATTTCTCTTACCACAGAGATGTTTACCTTGTTTTTGAATCTGGCTATGTGTTTTTTTTAAATATTTTTGTTTATCATTGCTGTGTTTGGAACAGAGGCACAGCGAGGTGTGCTCTTATAAAGCTATCTTCCTTTGAAGTCACTTTTATATGCAGAAAAAGAGCAAGTGACTTTGAAGCAAAATAGCTTTATTTACTTCCTCTTCTCATTTCCCACATTCCGTTCAATTTTAGGAGAATAAAAACCTTGCCTGAGTGATTCACTGTTATAATCCCAATAGCTAGAACAGGGTTTGGCATATAGTAAGAATTCAATAAATATTCTCATGACTCACCTTCTTCAGGTTTCATATTTCATCTTATCATAGAGGTCTTCTCTAGTTGCCCTATTTAAATAAAAATCCCCACTCTCCAAGAACTTCCTCTCCCAGCCCCCCTCCACCTGCCTGCTTTGTAGCACCTATCACCATCTGACACACTATATAAATTACTTTTTTTTCATTTTTTCATCTCTATTCCCTGCTGAAATGTAAGCCCCATCAGGATAGGGATTTTTGTTTCGGTTTACTTTTGTATACCCAGCACCAAAACAGTGCCTGCCATAGAACAAATGCTCCATAAATACCTTTAGAATATATATGAAAATCAATGAAACCTCAGGTACTCTACCAAGGCTATAGGCTCAAACATCTGTTTATATAAAGATGTTTATATGGTTTATTTAAACCTCTAATGTTCAACAGTGGGGAATGGTAAAGAAAATGATGTTAGATAAAGTAAAAAAAACTAACTTTCAAGCAAGAGATTTGGGTTCACTTCCCGGCTTTTCTATTTTCTAGCTGTATGAATTTGGGAAAGTTAAATCTGAATCTATTTCCTTATTTGTGAAATAGGATAAAACAATGCTTACCTTAAAAAATTGTTTCAAGGGTTTAAATGCAAAAGTGATTAGTACAGAGATACATGGCTTATTTGAGAGGTCTTAAAAATAAGTGCAGAGTCTGTGAGGCAGCACTGGGGAACTGCTTAGGAAATTAAGTTAAAAAATAAGGCCACAAGATTAATCTATGTGAACATTACAAATATGAGCAAAACTGACAATGATAAGATGTAACAACTGTTGAGAAGGTGAGAAACAAGGGAAATATTTCTTTCACATTTCTTTTATCATTTGCCAAGGCTCGAAGGAGAAAGTGAATCTTAATTGTTCATCATTCTCCCATGTGCTATGAGCTCACAAGGCCAAGGATTTGTTATGGTTACATGTGTACCTCCAACAAATAGTTGGAGTGACTAGTCAATGCATTTCTGATGGACGAATTAAAAGGACAAAGGGGATCCATTTTTTAATAGCTCTTAATAGGTAAGGCCAAACAGTTCCCAAAGCAAATTTAAAGAGCGTCTAGACTCCACAGGCCTATAATTAGCTAGAAGCCTGAGAGTCCCGATGAGGGTGGCTGGTCAGGCACTTACTTGCTGAGCTGGTAATCAGTGCCTTTGATGAACTTGAGCTTCTCCAAGGGTACACCAATGCTCTCCAGCATTGCCTTGATCACATTCTCATAGTAGCTGGTTCGGAGTTCTAGAAGTTCCCATGGGGCTTTCATGTTATCCAGGTATGCGTGAAGGTCCGCAAACAGAACTGTTACCTGGGTAAGTGATAAGGGACAACTAAACTGTGGATTTGTCCATGAACCTCCAAACCCCCCTCCTGCCCTTGTTAAGTCTCTAACCTCCATTCCCTAAGGGCGACTGTTTGGCTTATTATACTACTTCTTACCTCACATCCTGCTTTCAGGAAGTCTGCAATCTTAGACATGGGCACGAAGTAAGCCACATGTGGCTTGCCTGTAGTCGCTGTCCCCCAGTAAACTTTAAGTTCCCGCTCCTTCAGGATCTCCTTCAGCTTCTCTTCTCCCAGAACCTCCTATTGTGGAAGCAGAAGGGCTGGTTCAATGCTGGTGCCCTACCTTGCTAATCCTTTACCTTGTGACAAGGAAAACAAAGGCACATGTCACTGGGGGGCCAGGCTTGGGGCCCGCAGGGAGGTCCAGCCATGCTCTCAGAGCTGAGTGAGAGCCATTGCAAGCTGGTGCTGTTGCTAGTAACACTCTAGTGAAATGACACAGAGGTTAGAGGAACGGGGCATGTCCCTGACCACATCTTCCTTCCAGCTACCTCTCACTCTCCTTCCTTTTACAGCCAACTTCTTGAAATAACTGTCTCTTCTTCTGGTCTCTATGCTTTACCTCCTGTTGCAATTTGAATTCCATACAGCATCACATCACTGAAAATGCTCTTGCGAAGATCATAGGTGACCTCCATCTTGCTAAATTCAATGGATGCTTTTTAGTCCTCACTCCCTGAAACACTCTCCTCTTTTGGTTTCTTTTATTTTATTCTCCTAGTTTTCTTTCTAATTCTCTGGCTGCTGGCTCAGGTTTCTTTGCAGTTGTTCTTCCTCCTAATCATTAAATATTAGCAATCCTTGCAGCCCTAAGTCTTCTCTTCTTACTCTACATCCTCCCTAACTGATGCCCTTCAGTTGTTTCAGTTACTACTTATGAGCTAGTAACTACCAAGTCTCCTGCTCAAACTTATATATGGAACTGTGCACTTGTTAAAAATCCAGTCAATTCAAACTCAACGGTTCAAAATTAAACTCAGGCTCGCCTTCCTCCTTCCTCCCTAATCATCTTTTTTTCACTTATAATTTCACCCCTAGTGCAGTAAATGGTACTATCATTCATTAAGTTGCCCAAGTTACTCCAAAACAGTTCTTAAAACCTCCTACTTCTCTCCACCTCCCCACCACTCTAGGCTAGGCCACCACTTGATCACACCAGGATTACTGTTAAGAACCCCTATCAGGTCTCTCATATCTATTCTTGTTCTCTCCATGTTCCAAAAGGTAGCCAAGAGATCTTTAAAAGCCCAAATTTGATGAACTCATTCACCTATTTGAATACTTTAATGATTTCCCTTTGCCCTGAAACAATATTGGGAAAATCCTAAGAAGTTGGTATATGCTGCTGATAGAGACCTTAGTGTTTTGTTAAGTGAACCTTTGAAGAGGCTATTAGAAACCATGAAGGACAAATACTGTTTCGTTGGTTTAAATCATTTATCAGCAGGACTCGTTAAAATCTTATGTTCCAAGATGGATGGAGCCTAATCCTGCATCCTCTGAGCCCCTGACTATTTGGACACTTGGAGAGTTCTCACTCCCCAAGGAAAGGGCTTATCACTTACCCTTTAAAACCTGACTGAGTCAACACCACTAGCTTTGTGTATCCTTTGTCCCTGGCCAGCACTATTTCATGGAGAGAGGCTAGGAAACAAAGGATCTGGCTATGAAGAAGCATGTTAAAAATCTTTGGTTAAGATGAAGTTATGAGTGGAAATAACCCAAATATCCATCATCTTATGAATGAAGAAACAAAATGTAGTATATCCATATAATGGAATATTATTCAGCTATAATAAGGAATAAAGTACCGACATTGAAACATTATGCTAAGTGAAAGAAGTCAGACACAAAGGCCACATATTATATGACTCCATCTACATGAAATGTTCAGAATAAGCAAATTAAAAACAGAAAGTAAATCGTGTTACCCTAGGGCTGAGGAGAAGGGAGGAATGGGCAAGGACTGCTAATAGCTACAAGGTTTTTTTGGTGATGAAAATGGTCTGGATTATATAATGGTGATAACTGCATAACCTTGTGGTTATACTAAAACCCACTGACTTGTACACCTTAAAAGGGTGAATTTTATGGTATGTGAATTATATCTCAAAAACAAAAAACAAAAAACAACCAAGCTGTGCACCAACCAGCATATCATTGCTCTTAGAATAAGTCCCAATTTTAAACGTAGTCTAAAGGCCCTCATGACCTGGTCCCTGCCTACCCCTCTTAAACAAAAAAATTAAAATGCACTGAATTGTGGGGTGGATGCATGGGAGGGGGATAAAGAGGCACAAAAATCTCAATCATAATATAAGTTGGTCACAGGGATGGAAGGGCAGCATTAAGAATATAGTCAATGTTTCTGTAATGTCTTCCTGTGTTGGCAGATGGTAACTGCACTAGGTGGGGTGAGGATTTAATAATGTGGGTAACTGTTGAATCACTGTGTTGTACACCTGAAACCAATATAATATTGTACATCAACTATACTTCAATAAAAAATACATTTAAAAAAGTAAACATTTAAAAAATATATAGTACATCAGAGGGTAGTGAGTTCTTTGGAGAAACAAAAAAAGTAGAGCAAGGGATGAGGCAGTCTGGTGGTAGAGGGTTTATTTAAATAAAGTGAACAGGAAAGGCCTTCCTGCTAAAGTGACAACAGTCAGTTGTCTAAAGGAGAAAAGGAATGAACAATATAAATACTTAAGTGCTTGATCTGCACTTTGCTCACTCTAGCTGAATTAGCTTTCTCTCTGAACCATAGTGTTTGTTCTTCCCTCTGGGTCTTGACCTGGGTTTCTTCTCCCTCCCTCCTTCCATTTTTCTGGTTAATTTATGCTTCTGCGGTTCTTGGAAACAGCAGGAGCATATGCGGGGTGAAGAGGTAATCTGCATCCATCAAGCAGTTCAGAGGTGACTCCCTTAGTCTTCCCTGACACTCCCCAGCCCTCTCCCCTAATTATCTTTCAAAATTCCAGGTATAGTACTTTCCAGTACTTGCCTCACACGTTAATTCTTTGGATTATGGATCATTTTAAACGTACGTGTGATTCCCTCCAGACAAGCTTTGGGAGGGCAGGGCCCTGACATATCCTTAGCGCCTGGTACATGGGGGCGGGGGTGAGGGGGTGCGAGTCCTGGATTCAAAGCCCGGCCGATGCAAGGTACTGCACATAGGAGGTGACCCNGTAGTACCCGACCCCATACACTTGGGACCCCAGTAATGGGGCTCATAATCAATGGATCTTGGGTCCCCAGCCTCCAACGGCGCATTTCCAACCCCGAGGCCCGACCTGCAGGTTCCGGGTAATAAGGTGCAGCTTCTCCTCAGGGCTCAGAGTGTCCCCCATTGCTCCGCTGCCCCTGTCTCCCGCGCTCAGGCTGGTAACCAGGCTGGACCCTTCCTCGGTCGTCGCTGCCGGCGCCGCCGCTGTATACGGGAACTGTAGCGTGGATCAGGTTAGGTTGCATCAGCTGAGCTCTTCGCTCGGCTTCCTCTGCCTGGAACCTTCCTGAGGAAAAAGTCAGGAGCAGCAGAGAGCCGAGTGAGTCGATGAGACGAAAAGGGGTGGGGCCACTAACCGGGATAGGCGGTGCGAAGGGCGGGGTTACAGCGCTTGCGCGAGGTGCAACCCCTGGGAGGCGGGGCTACCTCCTGCCAATCAAGGCCTGCTTGCCCGCCCCCTGGCGCTGGTCCGGCTGCCTCGGGGTGGGGGAGGTCGGGAAGGGGGCGATAAAATGGCGCAGGGGGCGGAGTGAGGCGCAGTCTTTCGGCCGGCTTCGGCCCCGCTTCCGGAGGTGAAGAGCGGGAGGGACTGGGGGTCGGCGTTTCCCAGCTGGGAGGGGGATGAGGGGCGCCTGTTGCTTCACTAGGGGGCTGGGAACACGGTCCGCCCCGTTGAAGGGTTGGGAGGCCCTCGCCCTGCTAGCAGGAGAAGGGCCCATTCTCATTCCTGAGGTGATGGCGGTGGGAGGGGGTCGTTTCCCTGCCTCCCACCTCCACGTCGGCGAGCCATAGATGCCCCCCACCCTGCTCAGGAAAATAGAGGCTGTTTGGTCACCAGAGAAGCAGGGAGCGACGTCGGTTCTCCCTCCCCAGTGGGGGTCGGAGAGAATGGAGGTGTAGGTGGATGGAGAATGCTTCTGCCTTCTTCGACCCCATTGCGGTTGTTGCCTGGGAGGAGATCGCTGTCTTCAGGTGGGGGAGGGAGGGGAGTCTCGGGAGAGCGGGGCCTTGATCGGCCTGAGGTGTGGATGTGGATAGCCATCCTCAGGATGAGGGTTGCACCGCGCCGTCCTGCTTGGGGAGGAGCAGGGAGCAAGCCCGGGCTTCTCCCGCCCCGCGCGGGGAGGCGGGAATTCTAGGTCTTTACGGTGGAGGGGGCGGGGAAGTGCGAATGCCTAGCCCGAGGGCGATGCCGCGCCTTGGCCCTTGGATTTCTGAGGGAGAACAGAGGGAGCCCAAGCGGTAACCTATCAAGGGTGGATTTGGGCCATCCTTCTTCCTGACTCTCCAGGACTGGGCAGGAGGAAGGCATTTGGAACCGCCCGGTGAGGGGGGGCGGGGACTTGGTGAAGGCCAAGAAGTGATTGAATTGTCCACCTGCTGCCCCAACCTGATCTCTGGTTCCTTGTGGATTTGTCAGAGGCACCGGGCTTTAGCAAACCTGTCTAAATTATTAAAGAAAGAAGGAAACCTGTTGCTTCAGCTTAGTAAGATTTGGTATCTATGCCCCTGTGGGAGAAGAGTCCTTGGCACCCTTATCTAGTGAAATGTTACCTAAAGCAGAGATTTCCAGCCTGGCTATGTTTTTCTGTCTTACGGTGTTTCCAGTTACCTCAAAGGGAGTTGAAGAATTTTTACAGATAAATTCAGTTCACTCTGATGTTGTTTAACTGTTTTGCCCGTTTTATGGGGTGATAGTTTACTGAGTGCATTTTGTGCTGTGTGCCTCACATGCATTGCGTATGTAAAAAAATGTAAATCAAAGGCCAGTGAGGAAGTCTTTCGTCCTTTGGAAACCATCCTTGCTCTTGGCCATACCTGTCAGGTCCAGCTTTTTAATGCTCTTGGTTTTAGAGCCTTAAAAGAGGTATATGTGGGGTGTGTCTGGTGTTGCACTTTTAGTGGCCTGAATAAAATAAGGCTTTGTGCTCTAAGGCAATAGGTTTTCTTAGGTACGATAAAAATAGAAAGGAAACCAGTTTCTGAGATTGCAACCAGGAGGTTAGAGAACAGAGCGAGGGGGTGGTAAACTGAAGTGTGAAGAAGGGGGTGGACAGGTAAGAAAGACATGGAAGGACAGAATGGGGTCACAGGAGGGATGGGGAGCAGAGGAATTAGTAGATAGACTTGGGCAACTGGAGAAGTATTCTTCCTTTAAAAATAAAGAACGTCATACTTTAGGTGAAGGTTACACAGCAAGTGCAAAGAAAGGCAGGTGATGGTAGAACAGCAGACAGAAGTACTAAGGCTGTCTTGTGGAACTTCAGTTTGAACTTTTAATTTTATCAAAGATCCCCACTCACCCTTACAAGTTCATTAAATATCAGCTTTCATTAGTATAGGGCTTTTAATTGTAGAGTGCTTTCATACATGTCCCCTCCTCATTTGATCCTCCTAATCTGTGTAAACAGTGAGTAATTTTCCCTTGTTTTTCAGATGAGTGTTCTCATCTGTACTGAGGTGGAGGGACTTCTAGTGAATTGCTGAGGTCTCCGAATTTTAGTCCACGGCCTTCATACAAGATAATTCTGTGACCATTAATGTGCAGAATTTGTCTAATATTTCAGAGGTCCACATAGCCTCATCTATAATTAATTTAGTGATAATATGCTTGCAGCTGGGATTAAACTAGAAGAGATTAGAGCATACTGGATGAATTCTTAACAAGCAGAGATGAGGAGACGTTCATTACCAGTTTAGCACTTCTGGTCCCTACCATTCCTCTGCTTTTTTTAAGACACTTAATGGGTCAGGGAAATGATGAAGGAGAGTGAAATAATAACTATAGCCACTACTAATTTAGCTTTTAAGTTTTGACTGTAGTGTGCTGGTGCTTTATGTTCATGATCTCATTTCTTGCAACAACACCATGAGGTAGATTCTATGATGGTCCCTATTTTATAGGGGAGGACATTTGAAACTTAAGAATGTAATCATTTAATCTTTCCCCAGTGATTAATTTTAAAATATTTTTATTGTTAAATATTTTAAGTATATAAAAATTATAGGGTGTACCATAATAATGAATACCATTATACCCACCATCTTAACATTGCCATATGTGTTTTAGGGTTTTTTTTTATTACTGTTTTTTAAGGAAATAAAACATTACAGTTAGAATTGAAGCTACTCATGCTCCCTTGTCATTCCTCTTCCCTCCACTCCAGCAGAGGTAACCACTATCCGGAATTTGGTGTTTATTATTCCTATGCATGTTTTTATAATTTAATGATAGATGTATGCATGTACAATATATGGAATTGTTCTTTGACAGATAAATTGCAAAGAAAAAATGGGGAATCTAGAGATTAAAAATACAAGACATACCAACCAATCACAATGTATTGATCTTAATTTGGATACTGATTAAAAAAAAATTTTTTTAATAAGATATTTATAAAATAATTGGAAATCTGAACTGGTATTTTATGATAAAGAATTGTTGTTTATGGTTGAAATGATATAATGTCTGGGATTTGCTTCAAAATAATCCAATAAAGAGGGTAAGTAGATGGAGCAAGATTAGCTATGGGTTGAGTTGTTGAGGCTGAGTGATGGGTATATGGGGGTTCATTATTATGTTATTTTTGTATGTTTTAAGTTAGAACAAAAATATTTTCTAAAAGGAGGAAATAAAAGTTATAAAAGAATGATTTGTGCAAGTTAAAAATTTTATGGATATGGTCCTGCTTTGCATGCTTTTGCTCCCAGACCTGTTGGAACAGTCTGGGGACAGCTCATAAGAGCTAGCTCTATGCCTCTGAATGTCATGTGGTACAGAAATTGATGTTTTCAGTGTTTGTGAAGGAAATTGATCCTGTGTATGCACAGTAAAGTTAGCAAGTAATGATGTTTTTCTTTTGGTGAGGTTTGGCCACATTCAGAGGTATTTCTCATGTTCTGTTCTACCTGGGAAGTCAAGGGAAGCCCGTGCATAATGAGATGTCTTAAATTATTTTTGCCAATGGACCGAAAGCCCTTTTTGGTATCTGCATCTTTAATAGTATACTAAAGAGGGTACTGAATTTAGAAGGTTCTGCCATTTATTGACTGACTCAGGGAAAGTCTCTTAAAAGGGTGGTAGAAAAAACATTGCCGTTGGAATTAGACCTTGGTTTGGATCCTTGTTTTATCTTTTAGGAACTCTGTGTACTTGGTTAAGTTACATAGTGCTTCTGAACTTTAGTTTCCCAAGAGGAAAAATCTATTGAACTCTTCCTTTGGTCAAGCAAGTGTTTGGACTAACCTCCCTGAAGGAGTTGGAATGAGAGTGGGGGTAGTGGCTCAGAAAGGGCTTCTCAGAAATGTAGCTATTTAACCCCAGTGCTTCTAATACTTGTGCCTGACAACCACAAACTTTTAATTAAGTAAAAGAAAAGATTTTTTAAAAGTAAACTTTTTCTTACTGCTGCCTAAAGAAATAGCTATAAAATAACCCAGTCACTGATCGGAGAAATCACTTTTCTCTTCATAGAGGCGCCTGCTTAAGTGCCTGGAACTCAGAACAATGCAGGAATATTGGTAAAATAAAAACTCTTAGCAGATCTAAGTTTAAATACAACAGAAAGCAGTGAAAGTAATGGGGTATGTGGTGGGAACTTGATAATGGGGGGAATCCAGTAACCACAGTGTTGCTCATGTGATTTTTATATTAGTGATGCCAAAACAAACAAACAAATTCAACAGAAAGCTTAATTTCTTTGATAAAACAATCTATGTTACAGAGTTCTGTTGAAGGCTAGGGTTAAAAAATGTGTCTCAGTACTTGGTATTCAATACTTCTTCCCTCTCTTTCCTATCTCATATATGAGTGTGTTTAACTAGGTTCCTTTTTAAAATTTATTTTCTCCCAGTTTTAATGAGATATAAATAACATGTAAGATTGTGTTAGTTTAAAGTGTATGACATAATGCCTTGACATATGTACATATGGAATGATTACCACAATAAGTTTAGTTAACATCACCTCACATAAGTTTAGTTAACATACATCACCTCACATACTTAAAATTTTTTTTTCCTGTTATGAGAACTTTTAAGTTCTGCTTTCTTAGCAACTTTCAAATATAAAGTATAGTATTGTTAAATATAGTTACCATGCTGTACTTTACTCACTAGGTGTCTTCTAAAATTCTATAATCCCCGTCCTTCTCTTTCCCTGTACCATTTTATATTATATTTTTTGCATAACTTCCAATGTTGTTTCCCTGGCAGATTATACATTCCTTGAGGGTGGAAACCATAGCTTTATTTCTTAGAAATCATATAAAGATATATCTAACTCAGTGCTGTGTGATGATGTTAGCTCAGAAAATGTTTTCTAAAAGAATGTGTGAACTAAAACTAATTCAGAGTGTGAGGTAGAGGGAAGTGGGATGAGGGGAAATTCTTAAAAGGCTGGATAAGGAATCCTCCAAATTGAATTTGGTGTTTATTCTTACAGCTTTTCTCAGATGTTGACATGTAATATGTATCACCTTGCCCATCTAAAAAATAATAGATTGGATCCATCATTAGCTGTTTAAATTTAGGTTTTAATTATATAAGTAATATATAAATATTGAAGTAGAAAAGTAAAATGATACTATGAAGTCTCCTCTTGACCTCTCTCAGTCCCCCTGCAGGATATAACAGCTATTGGTTTTGTGTTTGTATTTTTCTAGACCTGTTCTTTGCATTTATGTATGTATTGAAAATGAGACTTTTGTATGTGTGGTCATGATTAACTTTTAGATCTTGGAGGATATTGCCTAGTTGCCCTTCTCTATCCCTTCTCCAATTTATAAATGAGGAGACAAGTGCAGGTGGTTAAGTGGCTTATCCAAAATGTTACAACTAGTTAAAGACAGGACCAGGATTACAACCCAGCTCTTTGTACTCCCAAGCCAGTATTAATCCTCCTAGAGCAAATGTTATTCTTAAGAAAGTACGAATTGTTGGGAGGAACAAAACTAGTTCCTTAGTTGCATAATTTTTCTCTAAAGATTTTTCTTTGATGTTCTTGACTCTAAATCCAACTTTCTGGGATTTAAAAAAAATCAAAATCAAAATTAATAGGTAGAACACCTTAAAACATAATACAGTTGACTTTGTAATTAGCAGAGTTGAAAGTGATGAGAAGATCCTCTAATTTTCTTTGTGCCTGCAGGAAGGTGGGAGTCAATCATTTTGACAAGTCTCCCAAAAGGAGCAGCTAGCAGGAGCTGAAGCTTTTCCCATTTGGTCTCGCGGCAAAGGCAGAGATCACGCCAGCAGCTCCATACAGTATGGAAGACAATTCTCTCTCTTCTTATATTCTTAAAGATTTTGATAATTTCAAAAGCAATACCTGTTTGTTTTTTTAAAGTGTAGACTGTGAAAATACAAACATTTTACATATGTTTTATGTTATATAAAAATACATATTAGTGAAATCACTATATAATATATATTTGTATGGTGGATATTATTTCATGATAGTATATACAGATCTGTTTCATGGTGTTTTTAAATAGTTGTAAAGTATTCAGTAACTTGAATGTACTGTGATTTTGCTCAATGGTTCTGGTGACAGACATTAGGTTGTCTTCAGTATTTGGCTATTTTGAATAATGCTGCTTTAAACATCCTTGTAAATGTATCCTTGTGCATTTGTACAGGTAATTCTGCAGGGTATTTTTTCCAGAAGTGAAATCACGGGGTCAAACGGTGTTGCCAAATTACTCTCCATAAAATATTGTACTATCTGAAACTCTCACTGATGGTGTGTGAAAGTGCTTGTTCCTCGTGTCCTCATCAACCTAGATTATCATGGCATCTTAATTTTTATCATTTTGATAAGGAAAAAATATCTCATTGTTCTAATGCATATTTCCATGATTCTGCTAAGGTTAAATATCTTTGATTTCTCATGTTACAAGTTGCAGTGCAAAGAATTTGAAGTATCAGGTCACCACCACTCTGTAGAACAGATGGGTGTTGGTGTAAGGGTATTATTTCCTGTTCCTCAGCAAAACTGCTTGTTATTTTTTCAGATATGATGTGCTCACTAGTGCCCTCTGGACAGTCTTTTGGTACTTCTCTCTTGCCTAAAGATACTGCCTCATTTTCTTGTCGTTCTTTGGATGAGGATGAGTTGGATGACTCCTTGCTGGAGCTGTGTGATGGAGAAGAAGATGATGGCAATTTGAGTTTAACGGAGGAAGAGATTGAGGAGTTCTTAAGGGATGATGACTCATCAAATGAGAACTCTTCTGGGAGAGAAGGGTTGCTTAAAGATGACAGCAGGCATGTTGAAAAGGGAAGGAGAGGGAGTCAAATTCTGCCTGACACTCCCCAAGAGAAAAATTCATTGTTCAGCTTGGGACCAGTAGCTGAGACCCCTGGCCTCTTCAAACTACCTCATCTAAGTACATCAGTTGGTCATGGACCGACTCCTACTAAACCATTAAACAGACGCTTTGCACTAGAAAAGAATCTTATAAAAATAACAGTTGTTGCACCATTTGATCCAACAGTTTGTGATACTGTGCTTGATAAGGACAAGACTGATTCATCCAAAGATTCTGAAAAACCCTTTTCCTTTGGAGAACAGATGAGAAAAGATGATCTTAGCCCAAATGAGAGCAAACTTCGCACTGATTCTGAAGGCAGCCCCAGTAACTCTACTTGGGATGGGCCCCTGCTTCCTTCTCCTTCAGACAATAACTTTCAACAAACTGTCTCTGATAAAAATAGGCCTGACAGTAAGAAACCTACACCTGAATTCTCTCAGATCTTGCACCACTCAGAGACTCCTAATATGGGGTCATCCTGGAGAAATGGATCACATAAATCAACTTGTGAAATGAGGTTTCCAGTTATTTCCAGTTCTTCAGACAAAGTAAGTACATTTTTATCAAGGTGAAGAGAAAAAATGAAATTATTTTCATTCAGGTGCTATATAGCAGAGCTTTGTATTCATCAGATAAATTAGGGTTTGAATCCTAATGAGCACTGTGACCTTGGACAAATTATTTAGTGCCTTTGTGGGAATACATTTCTTATCTGTAAGTGAAACTAATACTTTATGGTATAGTAAGGATTAATGAAATAATGTATTTACATTAATTGATACATCATATTAAATTGCCATTTATTGAAAATTACTAAGGAGATGATGATTTTACTCCTATTTCTCCTTTCTTTGGGTTTTAGCCAAAGTCTTAATCCTCAGTTACTATGCTGAATTAAGTACAGCACCAGCTCTGAATGAGCATTGAAGAGCTGAAAAATCTTGGGCAATTTACCTGACCTCTTTGAGCCTGATTCTCTATCTGTCAAAAGGGTCTAATTAACCCCTACTGCTTAGGGTTTTTTTGTTTTTTTCTTAAGATTACAGTCACTCTTATTTAAAGGACCTACCATAGTGCCTGGTACACAATAAGGTTGAAAAATATGCCTCTGTAGCCTTTAGTTCAATACTATTTCCATAGTGTTTTCTTATAACTAAGGACCATCTTTCCTTCTGCATTCTTTCTGCTCTGAAAAAAATAAAACAGGATGTTCTTGACAAGGATTCTGGGAAGCTGAAAGTCCGTGAGAGAAGACTAGGCAAAGTCATTCCTGTTCTGCAAGCCCAAACAAGGTAATAGTATAATGAAATACTCTGGTTTCTTTTGGTTCTCTTCAGTTTCTTCCTTTCCCTCCTCAGTTTCCGGTTAGTGTGGGAAAAAACTGCACCAGGAGTAAGCATATTTGAAGTTTTGGGACCACCAATAAGATGCTGTGTGACCTTGGGCAAGTCAAATCTATGACCTAAGTTTGTCCATAAAATGAGGCTAATGATGTCTTCTATGCTGCTTCATAGGCCTAATTTTGAAGAGTAAGAAAGCCATATCAGTGAAAGCACTGTACAAATAGGAGATTTCTGTGGGACAGCCTGGTCACAGATATGCCAGGAGGGTAGAATAATTTTAATGAAAATGTTAAAAAATATATAAAAAATCATTGAGTCATCTCTTCCAACTTGCATACAACTTGTTCTTGGGGAAAAAGTTCTAGTTGAGGTTGCAAATTTGGGTCACTTTTTCAATCTGCCCTTTGTTGCCAGGAGATGGCAGTGTCTACATGGACATTTTCAATTAGTAAAGCTGTTCAGAGTCAGATTGGCTTCCTTACAATATTAAAAAAAAATTTTTTTTTTGATTATCCAGATACTGTATGTATTCTGTTTTTAAAAATTAAATGTTACAAATAAGGCTAAAGTCTCTTTGACTACCACCCCAAATCCCAATTTTCTGATTTTTTTCTATGTTTTCTTTGCATAATTGAGGGAAACTGTGAATTGCTTATGATGGACATTATACCAAAGAACACAAGTCATACTACTTGAAATAGTAATAAATTTACTATCTCAATGTTCTTATCCACTGACTCCTCAGTACAGTGCAGGCATGATGAGCAAGGGCCAGAAATTGTTCTTGCCAAGGTCACCAGTGTTCTAACTGCCACATTCATCTGGTTCTTTTGCAACTTCATCTCATTCAGCTTTTCTGCAGCTTCTATGAAGTTTGCTGTTTCTTGACTAACCTTGAATTATTCAACAAGTGCTTTCTTTCTCCAGGGACTAGGTAATCATTACTTTCATATGCCTTGCTAATAAGAGGTTGTATCTATCTTAATTTTTGTCTAAACTCCATACTTGATTTCAGCATTATGCTATGTGACTGACACTGTCTTCTCTCACTGGATCTTTAAGAGTATTTTGTCTCTGAAAGTTAGCAGTTCTAACTGATCAACAATATGTCTTTACGAAGCGCTATACTCATGTTTCTAACGGACTGTTTTTCCTCCTTCTGGTTTGCTTTGTTCAAGGACTAATGTGTCAACGTTTTCACAATCAGATCTAGAAGAGCAGAAGCAAAGTTACCTCAGGAGTGTCATTGCTCACATAGAAGACCCAGTGGACTCTAACCAAGGTAACGTGGTAACCAAAGAATGGCATGTAAAAGATGTGATGGGACTTTTTTTCCCCCAATTGTTATATAGCTTAAACTGGGAGGTTGTTTTGAATTTCCTTAATTACCTAAAGATTTTTCACTTAAAAGGACTGCTAACTAGATAATCACCTAAGTGGTTTGGCTAACCAGTGTTATAGAGTGGTCCAAGCAGACTCATTCCAGTACATGAAGAGTTCCTCCCTCCCCCATGGTTGAGGACTGTAACTAGACCTGTACTTTTTGCTGGGTATTTTTGTCCAAAAAATAGTGTATGTGGGTAACAAGGGATTACTTGGTCATTGTTTTTTTATTTGGAATTATTTATTTTCCCTGCTGCCTTCAGTATTTAAACGTAAAAAGCAGGCATTTCAAATACATCTTGCATCTTGGCATCTGAATAAAAGCTCTTGAAAGGCTTTACCTTCAGATCCTCCAAGCCAAGTTCTCCCTAGTTCTTATAAAAGCTATTGTAAAATGGCTAGATTCCTTCCTCAGCCCCCAAGAGACTGTAACTAATAGTCCATGTTATTATTCATCCTGAACTATTAGCTGATGGGAAAACTCCTAAAGGGAAACTTGAGGATGGTACTGAAGGTGCAGAAGTTAGTAGCTACTAATAAAATAATCTCTTCTTACACAGATGATTTCATATTCTGTCATCTTTAGCTCTTTTGTTCATTCAACATACCTTTCTTGAGTACTTTCAGTGTGCTGTGTTTGAACATGAGGTGTTGGAAATGTAAAGAGGTGTTGAGTTAGAGTGTTAGCCCTTTGGGAAATAATAGTCCAGAGAAGGAAGATAATTATATTGCAGTATTGATTAGTGCTCTAACAGAATTATATACAAAGTGCAGTTTGGGGAAAGTGGAAAATGGAGAAGGAGGATGCCCTAGGTAGGCTCCACAGAGAAGATAATCAGTTCAATTACTCTAAATCACTAGAGAGGGTTTTAGGAGAATTTTTGGCTGAATATCAGAGGAGATTCACCTTTGACAAATCTTGAATTATTTAGTAGGTTTTTTTGTTTTGTTTTACAAGGCTCTGAGGGTAAGTCTTAGAAATCTGAAACATCAGCCAGAAGAATTTTTTATTCCAGGTGCTTTTACTTTTTACTCAAAAGATTTCATTAAATAATCAGATACTACTACAAGTACAATTAAAGTCATGCTGATTGCTTGGACTTCTGCCTGTGAGCTCCCTTTGCTTAACTATATTAAGGACCTGATTGAAGTAGAGACGCTTGTCCCCTCCCCATTGAAAGGGCAGATTAAAAGCAGTTTGTCTGCATTCAGCCTCTATGGATGCGACTCCATCATTGCTTTGCCTTCCATGAGGTGACTTTTCTTTTACCCAAGGCAGTTGACACTGATGATATCCAATTACATTTTCCCTTCTCATTTTGGGCATTTCACAAGAAAAGCAATGAGCAGCTGTTTATATTACAGCATCTTTTCCACTCTCTCCCCATTCAGCAGTCCTGCTCCCATTTTATGTGTAACCCATAAGGAACAGCTAGAATAACTAGTACAGAGGAAAGAGTGTACTTAGTGGTTGGGCAACTAAAGTCTAGTGTAGAGTTAATTTCTGGGTTCATATCCTAGCACCACTGCTACTGGCTGTGTGACCTTGAGCCAGTAAAAACTCAGTTTAATCATTTGTAAAGTGGGGATAATAATGAGGCTTAGCTTATGTGAAGATTAAACATGTAAATATGAGTATAATGCATAGAACAGTACCTAGCCACAGCAACTAGCATTTACTGAATACTTAGTATTATTAGCAAGAAAGTGAATCTTTTCATACTAAAGTTTTTGTAAGTAAAATATTATGTCAGGTGTTTGTTTTTAAATCTCAAAAGAAAAAAAAACCTGGAATATTAAAACAGCTGTAATAAAATGTCAATAAATGAAGCTGATGATGGGCATGTGGGAGTTCATTATACTGTTCTCTGCTTTTGTATATATTTGAAAATTTCCATAATAAACTTTTTTAAAAAGTACATCTTTTAAGGGATTCCTTTTTGACATCTAAGGATTGTCAACATTACCAGTCATTCTAAAAATTTCACAGGCCTCCAGTGCTTGCTTCTGCCTTCTAGGAATGTGCTGTAATATTAAGTTCTTAAATCACTTTCTGTTGCCCAGTATGCATACATAATAAGATTTTAAAACTTTATATACCATACTGCAGGAGGAATGGGTACGTATTCTTCATCTCTTCCCTATTTACATATTAATTACAGGGCAGCCAGAAGCAAAAAGAGGAAGCGTAATACCTCCAGTCCTCCTTTTCAAGATATTTGTGCTATTTCACTGTCAAAAAGTATAATTTTTCAGATTCTTTATAAGACACATAGAAATTAGTAGGGGGCAGATTCAGCTATAGTTCCTGCCAATTCAGTTTGAATACTCTCCATTGGATTAATCATCATCTTTGACTTTATCAATAATGTGTATATATTATTGATACAGAATATAATAATATAAATCGTCTTTCAACTCCATCATTCTCATTTGGGTATAATCTCAATTTAGTGCCACGTGGGTCTTTAATTTTATGTACAAAGTCATCGATTATTTCCTTTCTGACATTCTAAGTTCTTAGAAAAGACCATTTAGATCTTATCTTTAATTTCTTAACACGTAAGTCTGTTCTATGTATCTCTGCCAACATGCAAAAAAAAGTCAATAAAAAGAATGAAAATATCCCAGACAGTACAATAAAGAAAGGTAGAACAAGGAAAGAAAAGATAAAACTTAGAAAATCAATCCTCAGAAGTTCAATTATCTATTAGGAGTTTCTTAAAGACAGAACAGATTATAGAGAGGGTACAGTTATCTAGGAAATATAAGAAAGTCTCAGAACTGAGATATCTATGCCCAAACGCCCACTGAGTACCTGGTATAAAGAATGAAAGGAAAACGAAAAAGAAAGACCTGTACCAATGTATATCAGTAATTAGTACTGATTCAGCCTTTGCTTAGAGTTGGAATAATGCAAAACTCATTACTTCATGAAGCAGGCCATTCATTGCTTAGAAAATTCTAGTTGTTAGAAAGTTATTTCTTATGTTGAGCCAGACTCTGTTTCCCTGTAATTTTCAGTGGCACTTCCTAGTTCTGCCCTTGAGGATCACAAAAAATAACTACTCTCTGTTATATACTTAATGTATTTTAAGGACCTTTCCATGTGAAATATCTCAAAATAAGAGTTTTAATATATATGTAAAGTATTATGTAATTTTGTATTCCATCTTGGATAATTAGGTTATGTCCATTTTCATTAGTAATGCTACAGTAACATTCTGGTCAATAAACGTTCATGTACAACTCTTATTTCTATAGGATGAATACCTAGAAGTGGAATTGCTGGGTAAAGTATATAAACATTAAAAAAAAAATTGTTATATGTTACCAGATTGTCCTCACCAAAAATTGTATTAATTTTTGCTGTTACAGTTTGATAGGTAATATTTAACATATTTTGTTTTAATAATTAGATTAAAATTTTTAGATACTGGTGATTTATATTTAATCATTTCTTAAAATCACCTAATATCTAGTCCATGTTGCAGTTCCCCTAGTTGTCCCAAAAATGTCCTGTAAATTGTTAAAATGGGATCTAAACAAGGTTCAGGTGTCTCCTAAGTCTCTCTTAATCTAGGTCACTTGTTTTGTAGATTGTCCCACAATTTGAATTGTGTCCGATTATTTCCTTGTGATGTCATTTAACTTGTTCCTCCATCCCTTGTAGTTCTTGTAACCTGGAGGTTAGGTCTAGAGGAGGGATTTAGATTAGGATTAAACATTTTTGGCTGAAATAATTCATAGATAACTGTGTGTTCATCCTGTATGTTATTAGGAGGCACCATCTAATGGCAGGTTGTTCCACTAATAATGATGCCAAGTTAGATCACTTTGTTAAGGAGTTAAGTGCCACATCTCTCTATTGTAAAGTGCATTTTCCCTGTAATTAATCATTTGTGGGGTGATGCTTTGGAACCATGTGAATATCCTGTTCCACAGTAGTTGTTCACTTGATGGTTTGAATGTTCATTGGTGATCTTGCCTGAAACAGCAACTATACAGAGTTGCACAGAAAATGTTCATTTTCTGTATCATTTCTTTTACAGTTGTTACCTAGCATTTCTCTAAAATGATTTTTAATTTTTTTAGTATAACTGTTATCTCATGGATTTTTTTAAATCAATTGATTATCGTCTTTTTTTTTTTTTTAATGCTCAATTTGTCCCAAAGTTGACCAGTGGGAACTCCTTCAAGTTGACTACTATGTCTTTTGATGTGATTCCATTAGTCTTTTTTAATCGTGGAAGAAAAGTAACACAGTTATTCTCTTTACCATTTTTTAGTGTAAGTTCAATAGTGTTAAATTTATTTGCATTGTTTTGAAACAGATCTCTAGAACTATTTTATCCTGTAAATCTCAAACTCTGTTACCCATTAAAAAACAACTAGCCTCAGTATAGCACAGAGAAGACAAGTAGTGACTCTAAGGCATCTTACTACGCTGAGGGACAGTTGACTGTAATATGGTATGTGGCGGGGATTTGCTAATGGGGAAATCTAGTAACCACAATGTTACTCACGTGATTGTATATTAATGATACAAAAAAACAACTAGCCTTATGAGTGTTTAGTAAAGGATATAAATTGATGAATCACTAAGTTGTTGTTCATCTGAAACCAATATAATATTATATATAAGTTAGCTATGTTTCAATTAAAAATTTTTTAAAAGCCAACTAGCTTCTTCTACCTCCCCACAGCCTCTGGTAACCACCATTCTACTTTATATTTCTGTGAATTTGACTACTTTAGATACCTTATATAAGTGGAATCATACAGTACTTGTCTTTCTGTGACTGGCTTATTTCAGTTAGCATAATGTCCTCCAGGTTCATCCATGGTGTACCATGTGTCAAGTTCCCTTTCTTATGACTGAATAATATTCCATTGTAT